GCGTCTCTACGTCACTCCTCAGTCCAGATATGGTCACTTCCTGTTCAGTGGTTGAGGAAAAACAAGATGGCGACGGCTTTTTATCTAAAAGAAACTCCAACACCAAGCAACTCAATGAGCACACAGCTAATACATGCTAATGGTTAGCAATTTAGCGACCTCATGCTACCCACACAAACATTGTCATTTAGAAAAGCTGAGGCTCCACAGATTCCAAGTTTACGCTTTATCACTTTACAACCAAAACTCACTGACGAAGCCTTTGATGTTTTGTGATCCAAAGTTGTGTTCAAGGGAAAACTCAACTGCTTCAATGTCTCTGAATCTCTTGTGGGTTCATGCCACACGGTTCCAGAGCTTACACACTGCACTACTCCCGTGAAGAGCCTGTCCTCAGCCTTGCATGTGAAAACAAGGTCTTGGTCTCCATCTAGTGGATGGATTATGTTACTACACTAAATCTAAAGGCTCTGAAATGGAACGATAGGTGATCGTACAGCTTCAGTCAGAAAATTAAAGAAATGGTTGATGAATAAACCGGGTGTGTAATATTATTCCAATTGTATCCGTTTTATTTGTCCCATCTTAAATCAATGTTGATGTAAATTGAATATGCTAGGCTGAACTTCATTTATAGTTCCTTTTAACGAACACTACACATATTCTGTAGCATTACGTACATTTATATTATATTAGTCCTTTATTTATATTGTACATAGTTCATTATTTATATTGTAGAGCCTCAACTGGTGATTTTACTGGATAATCTAAACCTTTATTTGCTGTTAAACCTTCAGGTTGAACCGCTCACAAGTCTTTGGTAGATGTGACTGCAGCCACGAGGTTACAAGGATAGGAAACACTGAGGATCAGACGTGAGTCATGAAGCATGTAGAGAACGACCTGTGGCTCCATGTTTAGTCTGGCTTCAGTGACCCTCACAGCTAAAGCTAATGCACGAGGTCACCGAGCTTAAAGCCTTGCTTAGTCAGCAGATTTAACTTGAGTTCACACAGGAAGTTATTTTACAGTTAAAATAAATAAGGTGTTTGTATCCTCTATATGAACCAGTCTCAGTGTAGTCCTGATCCTCTATATGA